AAGATGTATGGTGGTCATATAGGAACAGAAACGGAGTCATGGTTACTAATTACTGAGGAGCGTTGTGGATGCCAGTACATTTGTAAGTAATATTGTTACTTCGTCCGACCAGCGTCAGTGAATACACCATTCCAACTGCAAGCATTAAAAGCAGGACAAAAGAGATGGTTTCTAGTGCTCTACGGTGTACAAACAAATCCCTGCGTATACTTGGCGAGGGCGGTAATTCTAGTTCGCTTCTGTTGCTGATTTGTACGCCAGTCCAACGCGTTTACAAAAGAGAACTAGCATTTGTCTTCGTCAACCTGCTCCGCGTCACAGGAGCATACTGCCTTTTTTTTCTATGTGTATATCTCTCGCTCTGTCATGAATTGTCCCCGTGAACATTAACGCGATTCGTCTTTTTATTGTGTTTTACCCTCCTATTTATTTTTGTAGAAATTAGTGGGTGCAGTTGTACAGTCTGGTTGTAAAAAACGTGTACATAGGACGAATAGTATAATTTCTCTTTCAGTCTAGTCTATTTTAGAGGTTAATTTGGTTATAAGTTTGTTATTCTAAATATGCACCAAATGTAAAATATTCAGTTCTGGTATACGTTGCCTTCTGATTTGTTTCGATTCGTAATTAATTGAGAAACTGTGGAATTTAAGACATTTTTAGGAATCTTTGGCCGTAGTCCGAGAATTGACTTTTACGCAGCGCGATCACTGTGTTCAACAAATCCGAAATATTATTGGATAATATTAATGCCACTGGCATACATTATAAGTGTGGATTAAATGACTTGAGAAAGTGTTACAATTTTATGTACTGTAATAGTAAGAGATACCGAATGACTTTTATCCCACTATCAGGATTAATAGTAAGAGATACCGAATGACTTTTCTCCCACTATCAGGAAAGTTTTAGCATTTATTGTTGATACTAGAAGAGAATAAAATATTTAAAATTTGGATTACGCATTATAATATCGGCGAAATTTTTTTGTGGAGCAGTAATGACAGATGTACTCTAATGTTGTGTAGTAAGTTTGAAATCTAAATACTTTTAAAATCAGGAATTTGCTGTTTATGTGTCGTGCCTTATTATGTGTTTTCGGAATTCGAGTGCTGTTTTAAGGACCTAAGTAAAGGAACAAGAATTGTGTCATTCTTTATTAAATCATGACATACTTTAACAAATGGATTACAGAAGAGGCTTTCACGTAGCCTTAGTGCTAATGAGCATCCAGGCAAGTGTTTTCCTGACATCCACAGAGTTATATTACAGGGAAACGGGGTTAGCATTCTTATTGATCTGTATTTGTTATTTAAATAAAATATGGTACTGTAAAAATGTCAGAAGTATGTATTTTTCATAAGTCAGTGGACACTTACTTTGTCCTTAAATGTATTTTACAGTTTAAAATATAATTGTTTTTCTCTCTTATACATGCTGCGATTAACATCCCAATCCTTTCTCTGAAACAGATATTTGTAAACAGTTGACAGTTATTTACCGTGTTTTGTTTAATAAATATAAACATTTAACATTAAAAAGAAACTTGCCTCCTGTATCTGGCCCGAAGATTGAACAAGCTGTTATTAGCACTTATTTATACATCTTTATTAAAGTACAGAATTAATGTTATTAATCGAGTTTTATTCATCACTCTGCTGCGTGTAAGTGTTAGTGTGTGTTTAACTTCTATAAAATGAGAATAGAATATAAATTGCAGTAACATGCAAATTTTCGTAATAAATTGTCTCCAGAATCGCAGTTTTTGTACTTTCGGGTTATGGCATTTCTTCTGTGTGTCTAACAGACCACGTATTGAATCGTTCCCACAGTCTGCGCGTGCTATTGTGTGGTAGAAACGCTGTCATTTGTGAATGGTCGACTCTGGCCAGGAGATTTCAGAATTTTGCCTTTCTAATTAGTAGCCTTAATGAAGGAGAGTGTGGGGTAGGAAAGATTTTTATAGTACGAGACAATGTTTACATGCGTATATTATTATGAATTCATTGATCCCCAACTTTCTGAAAAAAATTGGTATCAAGTTTATTATACGGTAATTATCTGTTTGGTTATTAGTCTCGTATATACCAGTTATTAAGTTACAGAATACCAGTTGCGGATATATTACTGCATTGGTGCGTGTGTACGAACGAGAGAATGGTATGTTGAAGTTTTTACTTGGTGCTTGAAAATATTCTTTCCCGTATACATGGCTCATAAATGAAATCAGGCCTGAAAAATATAAAAAGTTGTTTAAGCTTCGAATTTCAGGAAAGGGGCTAGATTTTTTGTCTAACCAATGAACATACTTGATCATACTTCGCGGATTAAATACGGAAATAAGTATGACATTTGACAGTTTCTTTGAACGAGCCGTCGACGCGGGAAACTTCTACCTACACGGAAACCTGAGAAATCTGAACACCACACTCTGAGCAGAATTTGAAACAGAGAGCCCACTTTTCGAGCAGTCTGGAGCCCATTAGATTTTTAAACCGCACAGTTTAAAATGCGTCAGTGCTGAATTCCTGTGTTCCACTTTCCACATATATCGACACTATGAAATTCTGTTGGTTTCGCCACTGGTCAATATATCTACAGGAGGCGTTTAAATTTGCAACTTCCATAATATGATTCAGTTGGGTGTAATCTTCAGTCACCTGGGTGATTCGCTTTACCAATTTCCGTCCCTCTCTGAGGTGTAAAGGCCACATGGCCATATTGGTCTATCAATCCATCCATCAATCAGAGACCTGCGGTCTGAGCAAGCAGCTGTTGGGCCCTGCAAACAGATCAACAGGTTATCTTCAATTCTGTTATCGAAAGCGGATTAGCCGGCTTCCCTGCAGTACTTTATTAATCTGAACCAGGTGATAGGCAATTTTCCGGTGCCAGAGTTCCGTAACTTTGGTAACTGGAAAGTAATCTAGTTTTGTGATGACGGTAATATTTTCTACCCTTGACTCATAACATTATCTATTGAATGATTTTGTGGTAACGTGTATCAGTGCTTCTTACTCAACGAATTGTTGTTTCGATCTGCGAGTTTTGAGGGAACGTGAACTTAAGTAGTGGCATGTTTTGCCACCTCTGAATAATTCCTGTCCATTTCATGTTAACCGCATGAAAATTATACCAGTTTGAATTTGAACGCTGTATAGCGTCTCTGAAATGTGCGATTTTGACAAAATTACTCGTTTTCCTGCATATGCTAATGAATGTTTGATTTAGAGACATTTTCCTGTGTAATCAGTATTGATATGATATACGACATTTAAGATCATTTACTTTTATACACTGGAGACTGTGCCTCAAGCAGATGAGGTAAATATATAATATAATACTACGGGAACGGACTTACAGGATCCAAACCTTAGAGGCGATGTAATGGTACAAGATTTGAAGATTCTACAGTGATTAAATGTAATGAAGTCTTCTCGGTCGATCAAACGTTTGAGAATGGAGTTAAATACCCAACGTTTTGGAGATTGTCTCTTGTCCTCAGGTATTGATGTTATTCTTACACTGCTGATCACCAGAGAAGACTTTGTGATGTGATGATAATGTTTATTACAAGAAGATTTCTGTCTTCTGTGTTGTTGCGCTGTGTAGTCTGGTCGATGTTTACCAACGTTTCGGAGGTCATACTGCCTCCGTTATCAGGGCTACACAGCGCAACAACCCAGAAGACAGAAATCTTCATACTCACCGCTGTGAAAACCTCAAATCTTATATGTTTATTACAGTTAAAACCAAGGTAAGGGATGGATTTTAATTTTAAGATTCTTTAGGAGGGAAAACTACCATTCTTAAACCCCCCCCCCCCCCTCATCTCATGCACCAACACACACAAATAACTTCAATATTGAAGTAATATAAATATTTTCAGATACAACGTTCAAACGTGAAATTTGTGATGTGCCCTGTCGGAAGCTATAGTCGCTGTTGGCCGCGTTGCGAGAGAAAGTAGAGGGTAATTGAAATGTAATGTTTATTTGCAGGTTTCATCCGACGGAAATGTCACGCATTCTACTCTGACCTTCACCCCTACGCTTGCAGACCATGGAAAGACCCTGACGTGCAGAGCAGTCAATAAATTTATTGACGCAGCTGTTGAGGAAGACTCGTGGAAACTGAATGTCTTTTGTAAGTACTATTATGGTGTGTCTCATACAAAGCTTTTCTTAATTCCATAGCCTCTAACACGTATATTCCCCAAATAGTTTGGTAGGTGGAACGGATGTATTTTAAATAATTTTGATATAATTAAACATATGCATTTAAAATGAAATGACTATGTGATGTTAGACTATTTTAGAGGCGAGTTATCCACGCCTCGTTTCTTGAGATTTTAAAATTTAAGAGCGTCTGTCTGTCCGTCTACTTCTCCGTACTGATGAGGCAATTCGAGAACGGATACAGGAGATTTTTTTAAGAATTGACTAAATATTTCAATTGTCATTTTATGTAACATTTCGAGCGACTGCTTTACATGGCATCATACATACGGGGTTACCGCAGTCTGACTTAGGCGACATTTCCCGTGTTTACCTTCGTTACCATGGTTACCTGCGGAGGGGGAAATATTTCGTGACGACGTCATCATTCTGAAAAGAAACGCCATCCGCGAAAAGGATATTAGATCATTGACTACAGACGATTTGTGATGTCAGAGGCTATTAGCAGAAATCATTACGTCAGAATTATTGCGCAGTGTATACATATTCTAACCTTTCCTTTTCAGTTGTCCCAATGCTCAAACTAGAGCTCGGTTTAAATCTGAATCCTGACGACATCGAAGAGGGTGATGACGTGTATTTTGAGTGCAAGGTGCATTCCAACCCCTGGGCATACAAAGTCGTGTGGAAACACAATGTAAGTAAATGTTTTCTTTCTCTGTCTTACCGTTTAATTTTAACCGACGCTAAGTTCCATGTTTCTGAAATGGAATGTAATTGACCATTAACAGAATTTAGAGGAGCAGTTAATCCGAGTGCTATCTTCAGTTCAGTGGATCCACTTAGGTTATTCGTAAAATTAAGGTTATATTATCGTACATCTGAGAAACAATTGTTAACATTTATATAATTGTGTATGTGTTCCCTGTCGTTTCTAGAAACCAAACATTTAAAATATACAGTGCTGTTATTAATCGTTTCTTTTGCGTGTGTGCGAGTATTTTTTGTGAAATTTTGTATCCCGCTGTAAGGGAAAATACAGATTGTTGGTGTTTAAAAACAATATGTGAAGGAAAATAAATTTTACGAGAGTATAACAATTACTTAATGAGGAGCGTCGCAATGTTTATTACTCGCAGGCTATTGTTGGGATGAGTAAATAATTAAGTACGAAATGGTCTGAACATACACGTCTATGGGAAAATTTTGAGATATACATAAAATACTTTATAGGAAAATGCTAGGGAAGCGATTGCTTTGGATATATAGGCGTTAGTGGACGGATAATATTAAAATGAACGGATTTTAAACGAGTTTTGAGAAATGCATCTTGTTGTGTGTTGAGCATAAGGTTGACAGTCCGTTGTTGTGTAGACTGACCGTCAACCTAACACATTTTAACAATTTTCGTATACAACCGATCACTAAACTATTCATGATGTTACAAACAGTGTCCCTTTCGACTCCTTCCTTGCTAATATTTAAATTTTATGGTATTTTGTGTGGTAATATCATTCCCTGGTCTAATTTAAGAATCAGGGAACAATAATATCGTCGTGACTGATAATGAAATATCTGTAACAACCGATATTTGTAAATTGCCTTCATCTCACGTATTGTATGTAAGGACGTAACAGAATTTCTGGTATCACGTCATGCTTTGTATCATGCAAAATAACTGTATTCCCATGCCATAGCCGTTCTAGCGGAATAACAGCGAAACATAAATTCCCAAACGGCCTGCTCTTGGACATTACGTACAACGATCAAGTTGAAGGATGGGTGGCAAATAAATGACCGGCAGACAACTGTGCGTCAGATATAATATTCATGCATGCAAAAGGCACGCTTTGTGCAGATATTCACGTCAACGAAACATAAACTGATCGTTCGTTGAAGCTTTACTCTGTTAATGAATTGTTAATAGCCCTTGCTTATGGTTTCAACGTAACAGCGTTGGCCATTCGTAAATTTAGAATACTGCAAGGCGAGTGACTGCAAACTACAAACTGTCAACAAACAATAGTAAAATTGCTGGTCTTTTTTTATCAGATTCGTTCTTTGTACAGTTTTAATATAAGACTACTTTCTTTGTATTAATTTTTTTACTTGGCCGTTAATTTATCTCGTTCTTTAGCATTTACTTTTCAGCCAAAAGATTGTCGGCATATATTATCCGAAGGGCTTCGCATTGCAACATTTTAAAAATGATACATTGTGAAATATTGTTTTCCAGCTTCTATTTAGCGGGATTCCAGTATTATAATATAATAATCTATAGATCATATTGTCTCGTAGTAGCCAGGGTGTGAAGAGACGTTAAAACTAGGATAACAGCGACGATGGACTTTGTATGCATCTCTGATGAGAAGCACAATGGATGCACTAAGAAGTATGTTTCGAGGAATCAGCGGGAAAACAGTAAATTGGAAGACCGTGAAATGAATGTAATATACATGCTCCTGTGACCACGCACACACAAATTAAAACGTTCAATATCATATTGTGGGGTGAGGGTTAGTATTTGGAAATGAAATATAGGTAGAGACAAAACTCACTGGCGTAAGATTCTTAGAGGAAATGAAGACATGATGTAAATAATGTTTTGGTACATGAAAAAATACGAACTATTCAACAGTTAACACAGGACATCAGTGGTTGTACATATAAATAATATATTGTCAGATTTGTGATGTCTTTATGAACGGATAGATGTAAAACATCGCAGCGGTATTTTCAGCAGGTAAAACAAAATACTGCATATAATAATAATAATAATAATTCAATTCATTTATTTGAGCGCTCTACAACAGCCAAAAAGGCCAATAACAGCCAAACACTAACAATACAAACATTACAACACAAAAACAAACAATAAACTAAATATACAAATGTACAATGTTAATTTATTGCAAAATAATCAATATTAAAAAGAATAATAATAATATTTAGTTTTCAACATACCCTCTACATTATGCGTCGATTCCAGTCATTACAAAGTGATTAACTTATCTTGTCACTATTGTTCTATTAATTTGCTTCAGCAAAGCCTTACTACGTATAAATTTACGAGGGATCACCTGCTTTATTGATCATACAAAGACATGGTCGATTGTAGTTTTTCTTTATGTACTTACAACCTGCAAATGATTGTTCGTAGTTATTGTTAGTAGAAGAGTTATTTTGATGTAGACTGATTGAGTCTGTTAATACTTAACACTTATTTCCACAATAATTATTATTATTATTACTGTACTCTAGATATTGTAACTTCACACACGCGTGAACTAAACATATACAAGGCAAATGAAGTTGAAATCCTGAAGATTTGTCTAACTTTACTGTCAGATATTACAAACTTCGTCTTGCAATTCGTAATTTATCGACATTACAATATAGCCTGTAGAATCATCTCAGAATATCTGTTGTTGTATAAAGGTAACAGGATATATTCGGAACAGATTTACCAGTTGATTTACATAAGCGTACATCACGTAAGATATTTCCATACAAGTTACAATTTAAATCTGAAATACAACTTACTGTTTAGCGTAAGACGTTCTTATTCATAATAAGATGGTGCCAACTTCATTTATATTCCAAGTCGATTGACCAGAGTCCTTTTTTAAAACTTTATGTAGTCAAGAAATTTCCTTAATTTGTGGAACGCCAATGTTCATTACCACGTTGACAAACGCCACCACCGGTCCGTATCCTGAGTCAGATGAATTCATTACTTCACGAACAAATTTTGTTTTCCTAAAATCCATTCTAATATTATCCTCTCTTATATGGCTAGATCTTACAGTGGCATCCTTTCTTCAGGCATTCCAAATAAAATTTTGTACACATTTCACAGTTATCCATGCCCCGCTATATATCTCGCCCTCATTGATTTGATAAACATAATATTTGGTAAATATATAAAAATATTACCTAAGAACTATATATTTCTTCAATCCCCTGTCAAAATCAGGTAAGTAACAAGAAATGCTTCGTACAGTATATAATTTAAGGCACTAAATTAACATTACAATCGACTGTTTCAGTGAAGAGAAATCTTGCCAAAAACCTTTGCATCTTACAGGACGGTGTGTTGTTTACGTATCCGGGCTATACATGTACAAAGCCTAAGAAATGAGGCAGCAGATACCGCGCGACCAAAGTGTAGCACGTTGTTCTGCAGCTCCCATTGAAATATAGAACTTCGTGATGTGTCTAGTAGAATGGGTTGGGGTTGAAGCACTTAAAGTAATAACCTCTGTGTTGGAAACGTTACAGTTGCATAGCCCGGACCTTAGAAACCTCCTTCAACTCCCATAGCAGCATGTACCTGCTTTTTGTGGAGTTCACTGTTAAGCTAGGTTAACTTTGGTCCAAGTTTAACCTCTCTGGGACCTCCAAGTAACCTTTACTGGCTACAATAGGTACCTACATGGGAACAGTACACCTACTGAACTTGGCTTGTTGGCAAAATCTGCTGTTCAGCCACAAAGCAAAAGCTTGTCTTTCACACAAGAAAACACAGCACGATTTAGATCTTGGCACACGTTTGCAACAACTTTCACTGGAGTTTCAGTATGTTTGCTGATACGAATTAAAAATGGAAATTCTTTTTAGGAAGTTATTAATGTCAAAATAAAAGGGAAAATTTCACGCGCTGCTTGTAGGTTGGGTCGGTGTCCGTTAAGTACGAGGCTAGCTCACCCAGGGTTCCCAACATATAGGTTTTCTTTCCTTTTTCCCCTTCTTACCCGATGACGAAAGCAGACGATCCTTAACTATTTTAAGACGCTGTAGCAGAATTTCTATGGAGATACAGAACTAAACCACGAAAATTTTAGTTCCATGTGTAAACCTACCAAGATTCGAATCAGATACATTTATGTGATACATAATTTAATCGCTGTGTACAGAAATAACGTTAGAATGTGCGTTTGTAGGGTAACGCATTTGATTTCTGTTCTATGGTACCTGCTTTGTGTCTCTCCTGGTAGGTTTTCACATAGCTCGAGTTTTTTTTTCCGCCATAGAATCATAAAATAGACGAAAACGCCTTACTCTGCACACCGTGTATCTTTATCGACGCCATATAACCCTTTGACGCCGAAACTCGTCTAAATATTATTTAATAAATCAGTCCGTACCGCGAAGAAAACACAACACTTCACCATTACGAAAGACAACTGGTTGACGCTGTTTAAGGAAATAATCCCTGTTTACACTGAGAACAATCCGAAACCCATACATACAAAACGCAGAGTTAGTAACTGTGTGAAGCAGGTGGTACATATAGTTACCACAGGGTCTTAAAGGGATAACCTTTGTAACTGATATAGCGACTTTCGATTCGTGTATACACTTTATGGTGTACAAACTAGAGTTTTATGAACAACGCAGACTGTCGAAAAAGGTCATTAATTTGTAATATATCAATTAACTTAAGTCTGGTCGGTAACATGTACAGACGAGTAACGGCTTAATCATAGGTCATGAAACAGTCAATGCCTCTTGCGTGCAACGCTGCCATTAATGAAACAGATAACAAAGATTAACAAGATAACGCGTTTCAGTTGTCGTTATCAGATGATGACTTTGTTATAGAGGTACCAGTAGATTGATGACAATATTAGATGTTACAGATTGTTCAGTATTGATGATGTTGATTATTATTATAATTCAGTTAAATTCTTTATT